GAAGATGATTTTGGATTAATGTATTCATAAAACAAGCATGAATGAAACTAGACACAACTCCAGATGTGTTTTTGATGAGGGGACATCAAAAAGGTACATTTTGCAGAGTACGTGTCCTTTTAAAATGTCTGAATCATGCTTCGAGTAGATGATTTTGGACTCCCTCGGCGGCGTGTCAGTAACGGTTCTTCTCTGGGTGCTGGTTTTGTTCATATCTTGGGGGAGGGATAAACATATGGGAGCTTTCATTCATGGTGACAGCGCCGGGACCCCCCAGTGACCTCGCTGTCAGAACGCTCACATAAAACACACGCACGCAAAACTGCCAAAAACTACAAACAGTTCTACTTCACAGCTTTAGTCCATGTGTGAAGGCGCTCATATTTCCATTTTCTGATCTATGTTATAATGTTTCCTCATCACAAACAGACCTGGAGTTGTGTTTTGTTTCATTCACAAATTCACAAATCCTGCATATTTAAGCTGAGTTCTTCTCTCAAACCGAAAAATGCTTACTTATGTGGTGATACAGGAAGTGCTTCATTGTGTTTTTAAACTTCATACACCTTTGCTAGAATAAGGGCCTGTTTACACGAGAAAGCTTGTGGGTAAAAACAACTAAATATTTTATTGGAAGTGTCTTTCGTTTAGACGGTGACGCCGTTTTTGGGGCTTAAAAATGCAAAAATCTGAAACCACCCTCCAGAGTGTAAAAGTTGAAGAAGTAAAAGTTGTAAAAGTACGCTCCACTGTAGTGTTTCTGTCTACACTGCCCAAGACGCAAAACTGTGGTCAGATCTGCTCACGCCATGTACACGTTTACGTCACATACGTACTTTACACAGAAACCTGGCATGCATACACAATCGAATTCCACACACTTTTGCCTCACCGTATGCACGCAGATTTCCTCCTGAAAACACTTGTCTAAACGCGGAAGAAAAAGTGAAGACGTGACGCCACTTTTGCGTCTCCTGTTCACACCGTCATCATATAAACGTAGACTAATTTGGATCATTTCAGTCCTGGAATTGCCAATCTCTACTGAACAAAAGGTAAAAAGGCAGATGTTAACTTAAAAATTACCGCTTCATGACATCACAAGTTGGAACAAAGCATCTTGAGCTTTGGAGATGTAGACAGACTAATGCAGGATCACTGAAACATGTGTGTAAATAAAACAAAACGCAACTAGGTAGCTATGTTCAGAAAAAAAATAAATAAATGGGGCTGTTTGCTGCAAGTGTTTCAGTCAGTGGGAGCAGGTAGAGGGCGCTCTTGGAAAAAGGATCAAAACTTTAAACACAACAGAATCCAGGAACTCGAAAAGTGCAAAGTAAAAATCGCACAAGGAAAAATATAGTTAAAAGGCCTTCATTAATTATTTTGTGTGAGCAATCTACTATTGTGTACATCCTTGACCGTTTTTGTTTGAAGGACATTTGGACAATGAGGAGAGTTCAAACACTTAAATGTGCCCGTAGGTTTTTGTAGTCATGTGCTTTTATTTTCTGGTGGAAGGTAAGTGTTCATTAACTTGGAGCATGTTTAAAAGAAAATAAAGGAGGTTCAGAAAAAACTTTGCTTAATACAGCATCACTTAGGAGTATGGACCAATTGTCTTTAACAATATTTTTGATTTGTTCAGCAACAGTACTCTAAGTTTTAGATCTAGTCGTATTGTTTTTAGTGAGTAAAGTGCCCCAATCAAGAGATAAAATGATTTCATTAATTGTGGCTTTGGCTATCCTAATAAAGGCCAATTTTTCCTTGTGCGATTTTTACTTCTTTGGAGCGGCTGGATTCCGTTGTGTTTAGATAAGTTTTTGAGGAGGTAACAACATTATAACATGGCTTAAAGCTCACAAGAGTCAATTTTGTGAAATATAGACTTTAATGTATAATAAAAGCCACAGTATGTAACTTTTTAGCCATAAAATAGACTAAAACAAAAGCTTTTCTTCAATTTATTTCACATCTTTACTGTGAGTGTGCTTGCAACTCCACAAACCTGGCGCCTCCTGCTTGTTTCCATGGAAATCTTGTTGTCTTTGGCTGAAATCTTCCACAGTACTGCCCTACAAAAACAACAGACCCCTGAAACTGAGAAAAATGACTTCAAAGATTCCGTTTTGTCCAGACAAAAGTATAATAGGTAGGGCTCCCAAAATTTGACAAGTAGTTGAATAAATAAAGAAATATTTGAATGTGAAAAATATTGAGCTCAAAATTTACCTTTTTGACCCAATTGACCCAAATTTGGAAGTTACTGCACTCCCCCGTTGTATCACGAGCCAAAAATAAGAAGTTGTTCAAAGGCAAAAGGCAGAAACAGTGTCATTCGCTGCCTTTAGCCTCCTCCCTGCACAAGCTCAATATTTTTCACGATATTTATTCACATTATAAAGGAGGTCTCAAATCCTCCTAAAATGACATTAAAACAATTTTTTTACCAAACATGACGTTACGCCGTACTGCTTTTGTAGAGCAGAGTATTCCACAGTGTTGCATAAAACTGGTCCATCTCCCTGAAGTGTTGTTTTAATGTTTCCATGGCATTATGAAGCAATGCACCTTTAAATTGTTGTTTTTATTGCTCAAAAATACCTCGAATAATTTGCATACTTACTGTTTGCGAGGTCGCCACTCCAGGGATTTGACCTGTAACTTTGCTTGCTGCTGCCACCTGCTGGTCTCTGTGAAGTCACAGTTCATTGAGATAAACACTTGGCTTAAAAACCACTAGAAAAGCTCCACAGTGAACCTTTAAAAAAAAAATCTTGATTATTTTTGTCGCCATATCGCGCAACCTGAATGCAAAGATATCGAAGAATAAGTTCTGTTTTGATATTTTCCACTGATCCCGAGTCGGTCATCTCAGTCCTTAATATCGACTTTTCATATTGTCAATGTTGTGTCATTTGGCAGGACACATTTCATGGGTAAGAATGGGTTTGAGTGTCACTTAAAAATCAAGACTATCTGACATAAAAACACATTATTAGTGAATGTCTGATCTCAAGTGTCCTGTTGTGCCTTCAGTCCAATCAGTGTCACATTTCATAAGACTCATAATGACATTTCATTTAATTAGATGTAATAGTTTAATAACTGTCATCTCCTCATTTGGTTTACACAGAGAAAACAAAAAGTTACGGTCTGCGCAGTTCTTTGTGTCTCATTTTAACACTTTAGTCCTATGAACCTTATATGTGTTTATCATTTAAATCAAAGGCGCTGTACCTGATTTTTCTTTCTGTCTTAAAAACTGAATTAGTTCATTTGAAACAGTTTGCAGTGATCCAAAGTTATTCCTCACTTACCTTATGGGTCCGGTCAAGTGGTAACGGAGGGAAACAGGAGCAGATTTTTGACATTCAAATGTCTCTTATTCAGAAACTAGAGGGACTATTGAAATAAGTAAAGTATCAGAATGTAGGAAAGAGTTACACTCCAACAGGGTCAAGTTAAACCTGTGATATTCTTTCAAGTTGTTGACAAAAAATAAAAAAACTCATGTCGGTAACGGAGGGAATAAAATATGCAGCACTTTTTGGGCAATAAATCCAAACAGTGATAACTCTTGGTTCTCACTTACATATCCTTAACAAACTGGTTTGAATATCTGCTTCATATAGTTTTCTACCATATGGTACAAGATTAGATTGAAAAACCTCTTACTTTTTGAGTCATGAGGTTTTTTTTATTAAGAAAGGTCATGGTAACGGAGGGAAAAGTAACGGAGGGAAAATTGTGCAAACAAGTAGAACGTGCAGGATTTTACATCATTTGTCGCTTTTTTCTTCCGAATACTTTAATATTACTTCAAAATGAAAGGAAACTATTTCTATAAAATATGTCAGTCTTTCCAAGCTAATTTTTATCATTTTAAATACTTTGAATACATTTTTATATCAGATGCATGAACTTGAATTTTTGGCCTTGCTGTTTACTTCTGCTTGACTGGACCCTTATGTATTCTGAGCATCCAAGTTATTCACCACAATGAGTTTATAACCACTTTTCTTTACTTTTAGAGCCTAGAGTGAAGCTTTAAGATGTATTTGTGGGCCTTACCATGGATTTTAAAAGTGAAATACTGGAATTGGGAAGAAAAAAAAAAAAAAAGTAAAATGGTTATCCGTAAAGACCAATTTTTTCCCCATGTGTTTATCTTGCCCCAGTTTAGATGAATAAAGTCATCATAAGTCAGCTGTGTACTGTCTGTATCTCATTAGAAAGCATTTTATTGTCTAATAATCAGCAAGTGCTTGTTAGCATGCTGTTAGTGTTGAGGAAAACAGCCTTTTCCTCTCGTGTTCTTTTAAGCCGGGTGTACACAATGTCATTTTTTTGGCTCTTTTTGAGACGATTTTTCACTCGTGCGACTGTTTTTGGGATCAGGTCGAATTTTGGCTTAGTCGTGTGTCATGCTTCCTGTAGAAAACATGGGGTAACGAGAACCAATTAATAACTCATGACAAAGTCCCAGTCAGCATCGTAGGTTGCAAGAATATCAAACCTGTTTGGAATCCATGTTTTCAGCCTCTCGTGAGGTCGCATCGGAGCATCCAATTGGATAGTGTGAGAATATGAATCATGAGCTGTGAACTTTTAAACTCTGTGATTTGGTCATAAAGTTTGAGGTGGGGCTGAGTGAAAGCGATCGAAAATATCGCAGAGTGTATGTCCGGCATTAGTTTCTGCTTAGATAAATAATACACTTTTGAAACAGAAATGACATCCAGACAATTTACTTGCACTTTGAATTACTTTGTGTATGAATTGTGCTATACAAATAAACTTGCCTTGCCTTACTTATTCTAATATTAGAAAGCCATACTTGTACAAGGAGTCTGTGTCGACATTCTCATGCAGAGACTCAATATTTACGCCTATACATATAACAAGCTGTTTTTCAAGTTGTTAATCCAAAAATAAAGGATTTGATGAGTAAACAAAGATATTAATGATCTTGTGTTTTTGCTTTGTGTGTGCAGTGCTCCTCGGGGTGCTGGTGGCCGGAGCGCAGACGGATATGAAGAGGGTGGTGGGAGACAACGCCACGCTGCCCTGTCACCATCAGTTCTGGGTGGGAGACGACCCCACACTGGACATCGAGTGGCTCCTGCTCAAACCCAACAACAAGCACAGAGTGGTGAGTGAGAAAACTGGTGAATACTGTCATACTGGTCTGAGGAAGGGCTTCATTATAGGGCTGAATAAATATGAAAGTCTTTGTTATGAGAAATATTTAAATTATTAAAGTTTATATATGATCAATTGATAAAATAAAATTAATTTTAAATTAAAAACATGTATTACTGCTATTTGGGAAATTGTTTAGTTTCAGATAACAGATGACATTTTATAATATTTAATACAAATAGGAGTAGCTAAAATGATTATTGTTGAAATGCTGCTTTTTGTAGAAATATTGCAAGTTCATGGGTCTAGTCAGTACCATTTTTTTTTGGACCATAAGTTGCTCCAGAGTATAAGTCGCACCAGAAAAAAAAAACATATAAGTCACACTCGTTGGGGGAAATTTATTTTTTTAAATCAGAGACCAGGAACTGACATTTTCATGTTGAAAGTCAAGTTCTAGTAATAACAATAGAACAGAGAACAACAGACTGTTAACGTCACATATGAACAGTTCTTCAGATAAACTATAACATAAACAACAGAACAAGTTTCCCAAACTCTCCATCTCACTCCAAATCACTAAATCTATTCAATTCTTCATCCTCGGTGTCACTTCTGAGCAACTCCACGACCTCCAGAGGTAAACAGAGCGCCGCTTCCTCTTCTGTGTAGCTGTCGTCAGACTCAGCATCAGTTCTAGATAGAATTTTCCCGGCCTTCCTGAATCCCAACAGGATGGTTTTGGTGTCACTGAAGTCCGGGTTTAGTTGATCCATCCAGTGACTTCAGGAAAGTTACGTGTTGCATCTTCCCGGTTGGCACAAGTTTCTCGCTCACTCCAAACTTTCTTTCTGCTGCTCGATTAATGTTTTCGGCTGAATATTTCGCTACTTGCAGTTTGTAATCTGCAAAATATGATTTTCTTTTTGAGGGCATTTGTGTTCAGTCTTCTCAGTTGTTTTTATAAGTTTGTTTAAATAAAAACATTTCAGTGATACAGAAGTAATGGTGCGATCAACTGACATGATACAGACAGGACAGAGGCTCTTTCTGCAGGAGACATGTGCAGTAGAGTGAAGTGACAGTGGTACAGGAGGAACAGGAGCAGCAGATACTGACACACAAGACTAGAGCCTCTCACTGCTTCACTGTGAAAATTTGAATATATAAGTCGCATCGGAGTATAAGTCGCAGGAAACACCCAAACCATGAAAAAAGTGCCACTTATAGTTCGAAAAATACGGTCATAGAAATAATCAAGTTCAACATTTGTGACTTTATCTTTTATATATTTCAAGACAATGTACAATTGTCTGGAAATGTAAGTCTAGCATCATCACATTCCTGAATGTAAAAACCACCAGTGGCATTGTTGTAACAGAAAAGTATGTACATAAACTCAACCCTTCTCTTGTAGATCATCACGTACTTTGCGGGCCGCGTGTACGACCATAACGATGATAACCGTGTGGCGTTTGCGGGCGAGTACCTGAAGGGCGACGCCTCCCTCCTCATCAGTGACCTCTCCCTCAGCGACTCTGGAGAGTACAGCTGCAAAGTGAAGACCGGAGCGCAGTACCACTGGAGCACCATCAGCCTCATAGTACTCGGTAAGAACTCACTGCAAATACTACTACTACTTCTACTACTGTGATTCATATTTTGCAGCTGAAATCATCAACATTCCCTTAGCTCGAACTACAACACGAGAGCTGATTTGTGCTGTTAAACCGGCCCATCTCAAATAACATTACAGTAATAAGCAAGAAAAATCCATGTATCATTTATTCACTGGTTTTTCAAAATAAAACCAAAAATAAGAAAATGAAAATAACAACTATTTTCTTCATTATTTGTCTCCAAAACCAAAATGAAAAAAAAGATTTTCAGTTTTCGATTTTATGTTTAAATGAATAATGGGTAACACTTTATAATAACTACACCTTATTTAGCCTTAATAAAGCATGAACAAAGACTTAATTAATAATGATTCACACTTAGTAACGACTTAATTAGTACCTGAATTAGCACTTAACTTGCACTTAATTCGCCTGTGCTGTAAATAGTTACTCATAAGTATTTCTTACTTAATTACTCATGAACTAACCATTTGCGTGTGCATTTGTAAATGTATACTTAAGTCCAAATTTGAGCATTTATTAATGATTATTAAGCCATGAGAGAATGATTTACTAATAATGCATTATTGTTTCTCTGGAATTTGACCAACCTTAACAAATGTTTCATAAAGCATCATTAGCCTTCACTTTAGAAAAGCTCCCAGAAAGACTTAACAAACAGATAACAGCTGCCTGAATGATCATTGCATTACATTATTAGTAAATCATTCTCTCTTAGCTTATTAATGATTCATAAATGCTCAAATGTGAACTTAAATATGCATTTGTAAACATGCAAATGGTTAGTTCATGAGTAATTAAGAAGTATTGAGTAACTATTTACAGCACAGGTGAATTAAGTGCAAGTTAAGTGCTAATTCAGGTAGTAATTAAGTCGTTACTAAGCCTGAATCATTACTAATTAAGTCTTTGTTCATGCTTTATTAAGGCTAAATAAGGTGTAGTTATTATAAAGTATTACCCAATAATGGGAAAAATGGATAAAAGACGTTTCTAGTTTACGTGACTTAAACTGCGATGCCGGACTTTTGCGCCGCATACAGACTGAACCAGGACTGACCAGACTGGAACCAGACTGGGACTGAGACCGGGACCAGGACCAGGACCAGAACTGAGGCCGGGACCAGGACCAGGACTGAGACTGGGACTGAAACCAGGACCAGACCAGAACTGAGACTGGGACCAGACCAGGACCAGACCGGGACCAGACCAGGACTGAGACTGGGACTGAGACCAGGACTGAGACTGGGACCAGACTAGGACTGAGACCAGGACTGAGACCAGGACTGAGACTGGGACCAGACTAGGACTGAGACCAGGACTGAGGCCGGGACCAGACCAGGACTAAGACCGGGAACAGAGACCAGGACTGAGACCAGGACTGAGACCGTGATAGAGACTGGGACCAGACCGGGACTGAGCCCGGGACTGAGACTGGTTTAGTCTTATTTCAGTCCTGGTTTAGTCCTGGTTCACTCCGTATGCGGTGCAAACGTTCGGCATTGCAGTTTAAGTTACAGAAACTAAAAAAAATTTTTTTTTTAATTTTGCTTTTGGAGACAAATAATGAAGAAAACAGTTGATTTTTCATTTTCTTATTTTTGGTTTTATTTTGAAAAACAAATTAATTAATACAGTTCAACGAGTTAAAATTAAATGGTACTAAACGGTGCTAAGTACAATAATAAACTTCACACAAATTATCAAACTGGCCGATGAAGGAGCACAGATGGAAAATGTCATATTCAGTTAATTTATCCTTTATTTCAACAATGGAATATAAGTAAAAATGTGCCAGAAATATGATGGTTATAATTCAGTGACAGTTCAGTTTGTCGCCATAATCGCCTTTGTCTTTTGAAACGACAATTAAACATTTTAGTGCTAATTGACTTTTTCAGTTTAATTAATTTCTGCAGCCGTTGACTTATTATTGAGCTTGTTTACTGTTGTCATAGCGATTGCCTCCGCTCCCGTTTTCTGAGGCGTATTTTTCTTGACAGATGGCGATAAAACCACCATCATTTGTTCCAGTTTGTCTTTATCAAAATTTAATCGTTTCACGTTCCGGCAGCACCACCGCGGCGTCTACATCTGCTTCCTCAATTTTAATGATTTTTGAGCAGGATATTAAACCGCTACAGTTCGCAGTAGCACGTCCCCGTTCGCCGCTCCCCTCCGCTCGCTGCTGTTAAACGTGCACAGTCTCGCAGAGCATCTATAATGCATGGGGCCTCCATAAGCAGAGCAAACACCTCTTTACAATAGACTTCAGCCGGCGTAAACAATCCCGGGCGGATTTTTAGTACCCAGTTTTCATTATTTATGGTTTCCCGCAGGCTGACCGGACTGCGCCCCGTGGCTGTAGGGTCCCCGGTCTGATCCGCGGTCGTATATAAGAGCGCAAACGGAGCGGCGTGGAGGGGAGGCGGGGTTTTTATAGGAAAGAGTTGGGCAGGTTTGGGACTCGTAAAGAAAAGACGTCCAGAGGAATTAGACAAAGCAAGTGGTCATTTTGTGGGTCTGGAGTTGAGGATGGGAGGGCATCAGGGGTAAAATGTGGTAAGGTTTGTGCAGTACTGAAATGTAAACAAAGTAAATGTAGATAAGTACTGCATTTAAGTATAATTTTTGGTATCTGTACTCTGTTTAAGTAAATATTAAAGTAGATACTTGATACTTTGAGAGCAGGTATCTGTACTTTCTACTTTTGAACAGGACCGAAAAGTAAACATACTCTGTTCCACTTTGTAATGTTTTGTAGGACATGCTCCACTGTGTTTTTAAACTCCATACGCCTTCACTAGAATCGCCTAGAAGATTTTAGTCCTGGATTTGCCCATTTCTACTGAACAAAATGTCAAAAGCAGTTGTTAACCCTTCAAGACCTAAGGATAATTTTAGTACATTTGTCCTTGCCTGGATTTGTTTTTCTTAATTTTGCTCTTAAAACTCCTCCTTTTACCACCTAATGAAGTGTTATACAACCTTTTTTTTTTCAGTACAAGTGTTATTTCACAATCTGCTGCTTTAGTTGTGTCATATGTCTGTAAGAAAAGCTATAGGACCAGAAATACAAATGAAAAACAAAACAAAGTGGAACAGAAAATTCACGCTTTTTCATACAAAACACACAGCAAACATGTATAAACAACTTTCTGGACATAAAAATGCTTAATTTAGGGCCTTAGCTACAAAAGTGCAAAACATCAAGTCTGTAAGTAAACTAAAACTATCCTTATTGCCTCAAAACAAAAAAAAAACTAAAAAAGTACGATCGCTCAATGACTTTCCTGGTGTCAGTTGTGGAAACAGCTCGTGTCAGGTCCAGAGCACAGAGCCACATCACTTCCTACATTTCCATGGTGTTTATTACATTTGTATTTGCACATTTAAAACCTTTCATATAAAAATAGCAATGGATGCACCATTACTCAGACCAAGATGTGTAATTTGCTGTTTATTTGAGAAATAACGGCACTTACAGCGGCTTTTTCAATTGTTACGAACACAGACGCTCAGAGCAGTCGATCATCTTGACTCACTACACTCGTTAACAAAGTTTGGATGGAGTGCATGTGGTTGGCAGAAAAACTACATTCCTATTGGACACTCGTTTTCCAGTATAAATATGTTTGGAAAGCCACAACTCTTTAGCCTGATTCATCAGAAGGTTTAAATTCGTAGAAACCGTTTGACCTCGCAGCGTTAGGATTCATTCGCTTGACAGTAGGCGGGTACTTTTTAAATTTAACCAATCGCTGCTATTTGGTCATGACATACATAAATCGCCACTAACAGGGTTAACTGATATATTAAACTTTTCCCAAATTCTGTCAGAAGAAGGGCAATAATGTCTTTCCCTTTGATAAAATTCACCAAACATTCTTTTTGTTCCAGCTTTAAATCCTCGATCTCGGGAAACACAGAATGTCTGACTCCTCGCTGATTGGCTGGTGCCCGAAATTGCACTTCCGGAGTTTTTGTGAACCATTTAGTGTATTCTGATTCTTGGCCTAGTCGGTGGAGAGAAATGAAATTGAGCGGAGGCACTAGGTGGCGCAAGCCTGACTAACAACTCTCAGCTTTTCAAGGAAAAAAAGCAAGTTTCTATCTTTTATGGTTGGAAAGTTATGCATGGTTATATAAAATATACCCCCAGGTATTGTATAGGAAAACAATCACTTCATGACATCACAAGGTGGAACAGAGCATTTTGAGCTTTTGAGTTGTAGACAGACTAATAATAAAGTAATTCCTCTCTTTCTTTCTGCATTTCGAGCATTCTAATTATTCACCACAATGACTTTTTCACAAATTTCAGAGGCCAGAGTGGAGTTTTGTAGTGACGTTAAAGCGAACAACAACTAGAATGCTAATGCGCGCTTCCTGATTATCTTATTTTGGCCTCGAGAGCTGCTCATCCATTAAATCTGTGTGTGGGTCCGGTCAAGTGGTAACGGAGGGAAACAGGGGCAGATTTTTGACATTCAAATGTCTCTTATTCAGAAACTCGAGGGACTATTGAAATAAGTAAAATATCAGAATGTAGGAAAGAGTTACACTCCAACAGGGTCAAGTTAAACCTGTGATATTCTTTCAAGTTGTTGACAAAAAATTTAAAAACTCATGTCAGTAACGGAGGGAATGAAATATGCACTTTTTGGGCAATAAATCCAAACAGTGATAACTAGTGGTTCTCACTTACATATCCTTAACAAACTGGTTTGAATATTTGCTTCATATAGTTTTCTACCATATGGTACAAGATTAGGTTGAAAAACCTCTTACTTTTTGAGTAATGAGATTTTTTATTAAGAAAGGTCATGGTAACGGAGGGAAAAGTAACAGAGGGAAAATTGTGCAAGCAAGTGGAACACAGGTGTCAAACATAAGGTCCGGGGGCCAGATCCGGCCCTCCAAGACCTTTAATCTGGCCCTCGGCTGATTTTCTACTAAAATATTTTCAT